AATCCCTTCCACCCAAGATGTTTTGTGAGGGTGGAACGAAACAGAGTTTTCAAAGGCCCACAGGATGGCAGATGCACAGACAGAAAGTCAGATCCACTCCAGGGATGGGAAAGCTGAAGGAGGAAGCACCAGGTGAAGGATGTGGCCGGGCCCCTGCTGGAGCCTGGAGACAGGTTGGCTGCTGGCGGTTCTGCCCCCACGTGTGTCAGGTAGAGTGGAAATCGGGTAACGTACACTCAAAAGACCTCATAGTGCAGTGATTAAGTGTAAAGGCCCTCGGAGCCAGGTTGTTTGGGTTCAAGTCCTGGCCCTGAAACGTACTAGCTGTATGGCCTCAGTGCCCGTCTGTGACATTGGGACGATGTCAGGACCCATGCAAGGGCTGCCACGGATGTGGCTTATGCTTCACGTATAGTAGGCATTATTAGGTCTTTGAAATAAATTTATGTAAAATTAAAATATATGTGCTTAGCCAAAAGAAAAAGTAAATGAAAAACATTTTCAGTGGGGGCCTTTCACTCAATGAGCATCTGCTGCTGAGTGGACGTGAGATGGGAGGGTCTCTGCTCTCCCCTCAGCCAACCCCGCTCAGCCCCCCAAGGGCCTCGAGTTCAGCTGGCAGGGAGTGTATCTCCCCAAGCCAAGCGTAACTCTGCTATTTAAAGTTACATTTCCCCCCCAAACAATACAGCCCCTCAACATGAGTTCACGATTTCATCTGATCCTCACCAACAAGAAAGCAACCTGTTCCGTCCCTGGCCTTGCTGGAGTGTGAGACCGTGGGTCGGTCTTCAGTAGGAGGCCTCCATCCCCATACAAGACTCGAATTCACTCAATTCTTGTGCTTTATGTTCTCTCGGTTCTTAATCTCTATTTCCTGGCAGGTGACAACTCCTGGAGGGGACCCAGGGTGCTGCACAATTTCCATGCACATCCAGACCCTACTCTCCAATTCCAGAAAGCATAATGAAATCCAAGGCTCAATGTTAAAAGAAGAGCCTCAAATCCACTCTACTCTGTCGTGTTTAAAACAGTAAATTACAAATTAAGATACTGTACTTAATGAATATTAGTCACAAATGACCAAGTTCCCCCAATCTCAACACATCCAGCTAAAATTGAAAACTGCTGCTCCAAGTCAGCCCGGCCTTGAGAACAAGATCTCCTTGTTTACCACTCAGTCTGTTTACCACTGAGACTGTCCTTTATGTGGTGATGTCCACGAGTCAGTTTGGGAACCACCAACGGAAAAAAAGAAAAGATGTGAGAATGAGAGAGTCTAGAGGTCTAAGAGTCTAGTCTAATCCCGTTTCTGTCACTATTTGAATACCTTTAGGCCTTAACTCCCCAAGGTAACACCAGGGATTTGGACTTGTAAGATGTATGCCCTTCCTGATCTTTGCCAAGTCCCATGTAATGTGAATTATTGCTCACTGAATATTTTTCTTTACAAGGACTCTATTCTCTCTCTCTTTTTTTTGGCGGTACGCGGGCCTCTCACTGTTCTGGCCTCTCCCGTTGCGGAGCACAGGCTCCGGACGCGCAGGCTCAGCGGCCATGGCTCACGGGCCCAGCCGCTCCGTGGCACGTGGGATCTTCCTGGACCGGGGCACAAACTCGCGTCCCCTGCATCGGCGGGTGGACTCTCAACCACTGCGCCACCAGGGAAGCCCAAGGACTCTATTCTTTTACTCAAAAATTTTATTTTAAAAGCAAACTTTTGTCACCTTTGGGGCGTAACAGTGAGCCAGTTCATGAAAACTGTCAAATAACAAAAAAAAGTGTCACGCATCTATCCTGCCTTTCCTATATGAACTGTATCACCAGGGGACCAAGCAACAGATGAGGGAAGTCTCTCTTTATAAAAGAATTCCAACTAATAAAGAAAAAGGAATGACAGAATTAGGATATCACCATCTCACAATCCTTAATGAATTCATGGACCTAGGCACAGAGCATCATTGGTTGCCAACACTTTACAAAAACAGAGACAACTGGACATTATGTGACTTTGGATGAAAAAACACACAGCCATCTATGGTCTTGCCAAAGGGGTCAAACCTGGGTCTGACCGAACCTCTAGGTCCCGCTACCAATTTGCAGAAAACACAGAGGACAGAGGAAACATGTGGAGGGGCCCCATGACTATGCACTCAGCAAAATCCAGACTGTGAAAACGCTGTGGCTCAAACAGCCCAGGATCTTTAGCAGATAAAAGAAAGGGATGGAAGGAATGGAGAGGGAAATCACCCTATTAAAAGACAAATCAAATTTCTACAAATGGGAAAGAGTAAACTATCTTATCAAGGGATGCTAAAACTTAAGTGATAAAACTATAGAGACTGGCAAGGAAGTCAAGCTACCATTTGCGGGGAGATTGAGATTGGGACGTAGAGAGGCTTCTAGAGTGGCTGCTGAAGTTCCTTCTCAACCTGGATGGTGGTATGAGGAACGTAACCTGTAATAACTCATTATTAAAACATCAATTGTGTGTGGTTTCTCTATATTTGTCTTATAATATCTCAAAATTTAAAAATGAAAAGACTTTATATTGCCATAAATGAAAGAAATCTGTAAAAATATATAGAAAATAAAAGCAAAACAGCGACTTAGAAACTGCTCTTTGCCAAAGCTCAGAACCTGAAGCTTGGTCCTCTCTCTTCGTTAAAAAGTCAAGTGTTTGGGCTTCCCTGGTGGCGCAGTGGTTGAGAGTCCGCCTGCCGATGCAGGGGACGCGGGTTCGTGCCCCGGTCCGGGAAGATCCCACATGCCGCGGAGCGGCTGGGCCCGTGAGCCACAACTACTGAGCCTGCGCGTCCAGAGCCTGTGCTCCGCAACGGGAGAGGCCACAACAGTGAGAGGCCCGCGTACCGCAAAAAAAAAAAAAAAAAGTCAAGTGTTAAAAAGATGTTAATGGCCATGGTAGCACCAAACAGAAACATTCTCTTTGAGGTACTCAGAAGAACATAAAGTGAACTGAAAAGAATGTAATTTAAAATCCGTGCACCACCCAAAATCCCCCTTTGAGCTACCCAGGACCATTCTGCATGGCGGTGCCCGCTCTATACTTTCGCAAACACGATTTCAGCGCTTAGTCCTGCCTGCAGTGGAGTGAACAATGTTCTTGTAGCCCCTCGTCACCAGCAGACCCCAACAAGAGGCTGGTGGGCCAAAGCCACACAGGGGAATACTGTACACATTTGCCTAGAATGTTCCTTCCCTTGATGACCTGTGGTAGGGAGATTGTCTGGGATTCAGGGAATGGGCCCCAGCAGAAAATCATCCCTGCACCCAAAACATAGATGCCCCTGTGGCGATGAGGCAACAACCTCTCCAACTTCTGCTATCACAGCCCCCCACTGCATTGTTTTGTAACTATCCCCATGTCTGTTTACTTTGCTTTAAGAGCATGACCTTCTCAGAAACAGGACCCAGCTTACCCAGCACTATACCTCAGTACTTGGTCCAGGCCAAGGCCAATGCTAAATGCTTGTGAAGTGAATAACCAGCATCTATGAGCGTGTACCAGGTACCAAGCACTGTGTTAAGTGTTTCTCATGTATAATCTCATTTCCTCCTCATAGCAACCTTGGACGTAGCTCATTCACAAATGAGGAGACTGATACCAAGAGGTTTTCTAATTTTCCCAAGGCCACTCGGCCAGAAAGTGACAAAGCTGGGATCTTGACCCCAAATGTGTCAAGAGACTACTTAGAACAGGGAAGGGGCTGGGCTCTGGCTCTACCCCTTTCACAACAGGTAGTTCTATGCCTGGCGTATGGTCTGCACTGAGAAAACCCACCCCAAACCCAGTTCTGCGTCTTCCTAGGCTGGAGGGACTCAGTCTAACTTAGCAGAGCACAGGACTTGGTGATGTTGGAGAAGAGAGCAAGCCCCAAGCTTTAAGGTATACGCAACTTGCAATAGTGTCGCATCTCGCACAGGGGTTGGGCTCTACAATCAGGATGTAGGGTGAGAACTGGAGAGAGTCAAAATAATCTTGAAAACTCCCTTAAAGCATCTTCAAGACACTGGGCCTTTGGCCCTTAGAAGCTCCCAAAGCAAGAATTAACTTTATCTCTTTGCATTTACGCTCTGCCTCATCTCTCCCCTGCCCCCTGCCCCGCCCCGCCACAGTGCCTGGTACCTGGGAAAGGCTCACAGATGAGGTATAGAGCTGAGTAAGCTGGGTCCCGTTTCTGAGAAGGTCATACTCTTAAAGCAGAGGAGATAAGACATGTGGATACAAGGCAATGGGGTCTGTCATAGCAGAACATGGAGAGGTGAATGGGTCCCCAAATTGTTGCCTGATCACCACAAGTACCCCCCTAGGTATGGAGACCAAGGTTTAGTCTGAACAGGGGAAAGGTAAGGAGTTGCTTGAAGGGACATCTCTTATTCTCACAGATAGAGGGAGAATCACAGTCAATAGCAGACAGTGCACAGATGCCCCCTTCTTCTTAGGAGCCTGGTTCTGACCTCACTAGTCCCTGCCCAGGCTGTGTCCCCTGCCCCGGGAGTCCTCTGCGGGCTGTGTTCTCAGGCAACCCCTCCTCCAAGAAGGTCCATGCAACCTGCAACGTGAACTCGTGCATTTACCTGAAGAGTCCACAGGGCCGACTGTGACCCTCTAGGGGCACATAGGAGGACCTTATCCCTCATCCCCATCTGAAAGTTCTGCTAGTACATCTCAGATTGTGAGTCCTGAGTTCCTGTCCGCAAGTCACCTCTTGCTGCCAGAGGAAGGCCCTGCTCCCTTGGTTATAAAACCAATTGCCTGAGTTCTTTATCTTTGTTGAAACAGCATCTGCCTCAGGGGAGAGTGCTTCTCAGCCGCAACCTCAGAAATTCTCCGTGGCCGGCTGTCCCTGGGCCCTGACAGCTTCCTGTCTCTAGGAGGGGAAGGGTCCGGGTGTCTGTTTGGGGTGGCCGCTGCCGGGACAGCTCTGGCCAAAGCCTGAAGGCTGGAGAGGGAGTGGCCCAGGTCCCCGGGCGGTTACCATGGTCTGGAAGCAGGAATGCAGCTGGGTCAGGAAGGGCGGCTTCCCGGGCAGGGCCAGCACCCGCTTCTCCACCATCGTGCATTCCACGTCATCGTCTTGAATCACCACGTCCTTCTTCAGGATCTTCACGGCGTACAGCTCATCTGTGCCCTTCCGCTCTGAGAGCATGACCTGCGAGAGAGCGGGCACGTCAGTGTAGTAGCGGAAGGGGCCCCGGGGAAGCCACAGGCGGCTGACGGTCACTCAGATCTGCTCCAAGCTTCGTCCACGTGCCCTCGGTGGATGCTGGTACGACACGTGAAGTTTCCCACAGACCTCGCACCTTGAATGGCTGAACCCAATCAACAGAGGATGGTTCCAAAACAGAGACAGACTCACAGACGTAGAAGACAAACTGATGGTGACTAAAGGGAAAAGTGGTGGGGGCAAGGAGGGATAAATTAGGAGTTTGGGGTTAAAAGATACACGCTACTATAAATAAAATAGATCAACAAGGACCTGCTGTGTAGCACAGGAAATTCAGTATCTTGTAATAACATATAATGGAAAAGAATCTGAAAAAGAATAAAGGTATATAAACTGAATCACTTTGCTGTACACCTGAAACGAACACAACATTGTACATCAATGGTACTTCAAATTTTTAAAAAGCGTATCACTAAAAATTTTTTAAAAAATTTTTTAAAAACAGAGGATGGTTCCAAGAGTGATGAGCAAGTATTTGGATATCCCTTTGGGATACATATCAATGCCAGCCAAACATGACTAGAATACAAACCCCACGAGGGCAAGTATCTTTGCCTGCTTTGTTCACTGGTGTAACCCCAGAGTCTGGAACGGTGCCTGGCACACAGTAGGTGTTCAAGAAGTATTTGTTGAAGGAGGGAATGAGTGAATTCCTGAAAGAACTGAATTTGGGGCAACTGTTTCCGTATTCTTCCAGTTGTTTAATATTCATTAAGAGCCTTTTAAGCACCGGGGAAGCAGCATTAGATGAGCAGGCACGTTCTCTGACCCTGCATTCTAGGGAGGAAGGAAGACTTTGGACATTAATTACAAGGATGATTAATGTAATATTTTAACATCCTCTCCTGTTGTCCTGGGGCTTCCTTTCATGCAGCTGTGGTCACAATCCGAGCATGTTAATCAGTGTGGCTTGTGACACATCATTATCTGCACTGGCTGTGACTATGCCAGAGAGAACAGGGACCAGCAGGTACCATTCTCAAGAAGCCTCTTAGGGAGCATGGGGCGGGACCACACTGTACAAGACCTAACCTGGTCTGGGGGCTTCTGAGATGGCTTCCTGGAGGAAGAAGCAATCGGACTGAAGTAACTATATACTGTGTGTACTGTGTCAGACATTTTGCAGGCAATAATATCAATCACCACAATATTCTGAGTGCTGACCAGGGTGCCAGACAATGGTTTTCATTTATTATGTCTCATTCACTTTGCCTAAGACCCTAGGAAGTCGGGACCATTAAGAACCCTATTTCAAGGGGGGAGGAGCAGTGGGGTGGGGGGTTAAGAGGTACAAACTATTAGGTATAAAATAAGCTCCAAGGGCATATTGTACAACACAGGGAATATGGCCAATATTTTATAATAACTGTAAATGGAGTATAACCTTTAAAAATTGAGAATCACTATACTGTACACCGGTAACAGAATATTGTACATCAACTACACTTCAATAAGAAATAAATAAGTTAGTTTAAAAATTAATTAATTAAAAAGAAAAGAGCCCTATTTCATAGGAGCCCGGGGCTCAGGGAAGCTAAGTGACCTGTCACACCACAAATTCAGTTAGGGACAGAGCCAGGATTTTGAACTCCGGTTTACCTGATCCCAAGGTCTCTGCCTTTATACACTCCACGTGTGAGAGTTCCAGAAGAATCCTCAAGGAGTTTAGGTGGCTGAGGAAATGAAATGCTCGTCCCTGACTCAGCTGGAGGATCAGAGAGAGCAACAGAGGCCTGGGACCAGAGGGAGTGACGCACAGAGGGAGCCCCGAGGCAGGAGGGCAGCTTGCACAGTCCGCTCAGCTCCTGCCCTGATGGTAAGAGGCCTGACTGGACTCCTGCACGGCAGCTCTGGGCTGCGCTCGCCGCCCCTCACAGAGGCCCGTCTCCTGCCCGCACCACCTTTTCTCTCATCACAGCCAGGGGTGGCCATGGGCGATTCAGGCCTAGGAATCTAGAGCACTTAGGGAGAAAGTCCCTGACGCACACCTCCGCACCAAGAGGACTTTTCCGACTGCTTTCTCCCCCAGCCTCACCATAGAAATACGAGCTGCCAGCTGGGCAGGTCCTCCCTGCCGGGCATCTACTCAGCCTCACAGCAGACCCACTCACCCCCATGGCAGAGGAGGGCTCGAAGTGCTGGAGTGCGTGTCTTTAGCTCATTTCCCATCTCCCTCTGCTCCCTCACGGGTACCCAGAGCCGTTTTTCCTTCCCTAGTCCTCAACCAAGGCAGAACCAATGACTCCACTAAGATGTTAAGAGTAGGCTGGAGATAGGGGTTTTCTGCTCCCAGATTCCTGAGAAGGCAGGGCTGGGGCAAGGGCGGAGAGGTGACTTAGCCAGAGGCAAAAGGGTAGAGAGACTGAAGGAGGATGGAAGCAGAGTCATCAGCTGAGAGGACCCCCAAGTACACAGGAGGGGCTCAGCGCTGAGCTGGCTGTGAGTGTGGCAACCCCACTGCCCCGTCACCACTGGTCGACGTACCATCTAACAACCCAGAGTACTCGTAGACAACCCACCCCACCCCACCACCACCCAGGAACACAGGGGAGGGGCCCCGGACACCTTGAATGTCAGTGCAGTCCCCTGTCTGGAGGAGTAGCAGGACAGATGGCTGGGAATTTCCCCAGGCACCAGAGGCAGGGGTGAACACCCTACGTCTGTTTCAATTACTCCCCTTCTACAGATGAACAAACTGAGGCTCAGAGAGATTAACCTGCTGGAGCTAATGATTGTTCTAAAAGTGCAGATCTGACCAGGCTACTCAAATGTTTCAAGTCCCTCAGTGACTCCCGCAAGTCAAACAATTTCTTGACCACATCCTGTTCTTTCTTCTCCTCTGGCTCTTCTATTGCCAGTGCCTGTAGTGTCCTTCCACACGCTTTCACTGCTCAGAAAATCTGAGATTCAGCTCAGATGTTCCCTTCCTCTCTATCCCTCAATGATCCACGTAGACCAAACAGGTCACTCCCTCCTCTGGACACTGGGACTGCTTTGTATCTATGGCAGGTACTTTAGGGCAAGTGTTTCCAAACTTCAATCAATCATTCACGTGCCTTTTTCACATTTTTTCCCTACCACCTAAACTGGTATTTACTTAGTATTTTTTAAATCTAGTCACATCTTTACTTAACTACATTTATCTGAAAAGGAAATTTTATATCACCACCATTAATGGCAAGCCAGTATCACCAGCCATAAGTGGAAGATGAGCATAAAAGTAAATAAAAGTGAGGGCTTCCCTGGTGGCGCAATGGTTAAGAATCCGCCTGCCAATGCAGGGGACACGGGTTCGAGCCCTGGTCCCGGAAGATCCCACATGCCACAAAGCAACTAAGCCCGTACGTCACAACTACTGAGGCCCACATGCCTAGAGCCCGTGCTCCGCAACAAGAGAAGCCACTGCAAAGAGAGGCCCGTGCACTGCAACGAAGAGTAGCCCCCACTCGCCGCAACTAGAGAAAAGCCCGCGCGCAGCAACAAAGACCCAACACAGCCAAAAAATAAATAATAAATTTATTTTTTAAATAAAGTAAATAAAAGCAAAGCAGTGCTAGGAAATTCTAGCTGGATACTGCTGGCTGCTGAAGGTTCCAAGCCAGGCCTGTGTTTTCCTCTTGTTTAAGGAAAAAAGTGATATTAGCAAATGTTAGCTATTAATGGCACGTTGTCATCAAATGAGACTTTCTGATTCAAGTAATTAGAAAGACTAAGAGAAAACGTAAAAAGAGAAAAACCTTATCATTCATATGGCACCTATGTACCACCTTAAAAAAACTCAATTACTCAACTAAAATCATCTTGCAAATCATCAAGACTATGTGCTTCACACCTTAGAAAATACTGTTGCATTTGTAGAGACATTTATCTTTCAGTCAATCAACAGGGATGTGTGAAGATTCTCAGTGCCTCGCCCTGCCCTAAGCCACAGGGGTAGAGGAGAGAATAGCCAGTACCAGAGGACCTCCCCCCCTCCGACATCCTGCAAGTGCTACACAAAGGGGCAAACTCTGGAAAATTCTCCTATAGCATCTGGAGGAAAACAGAGCTGACACACACGAAGCATTAATAACAATTTAGAGATAGAACTGAATCAAGTTCTAGAGCAGGGGCCAGCAAACTTTTTCTGTAAAAGGACAAAGAGTAAATATCATAGGCTTCAGGGGACAGTCTCTGTATCCACTACTCAACTTGCCACTGTAGTGGGAAAGCAGCCGTAGACCACACACAAGTGAATGGGTGTGACTGTGTCCCAATAAAACTTTATTTATAAAAATAGCTGGTGGGCCCAGCACCAGTAGTTTGCTGACCCCTGTTCTAGAACATGTATTTCAAAAAAGATCGGGAAAAAATAAGAGTGACTACATTATCAAAAGTGGCCACAGTTAAAAAAAATAGAACTACCAGAAGACCCAGCAATCCCTCTACTGGGCATATACCCTGAGAAAACCATAATTCAAAAAGAGTCATGTACCACAATGTGCACTGCAGCTCTATTTACAGTAACCAGGACATGGAAGCAACCTAAATGTCCATGGACAGATGAATGGATAAAGAAGATGTGGCACATAACAATGGAATATTACTCAGCCATAAAAAGAAACGAAATTGAGTTATTTGTAGTGAGGTGGATGGACCTAGAGACTGTCATACAGAGTGAAGTAAGTCAGAAAGGGAAAAACAAATACCGTATCCTAACGCATATATATGGAATCTAAAAAAAAAAGGTCTGAAGGACCTAGGGGCAGGACAGGAATAAAGACACAGACCTAGAGAATGGGCTTGAGGACATGGGGAGGGGGAAGGGTAAGCTGGGACGAAGTGAGATAGTAAAATAGATAGCTAGTGGGAAGCAGCCGCATAGCACAGGGATATCAGCTCGGTGCTTTGTGACCACCTAGAGGGGTGGGATAGGGAGGGAGGGA